AAGGACCAGTACAGTAAGGGTGATCCTTGCAGTACTATCTGCTGCCGTGAAGACCTGAACTCAGCTAACCCAAGTCCTGTGGGCTGTTATGACACGAAGGTAACGTGCTACTGAGGTTTTCCTTTTTTTTTGGTACCAGAAATCAAACTCACCATCTTATGTTTGCCAGGCAGGTGCTGTGTCTCTGAGCTATGTTCTGGTCCTTTTTTTTTTTTTTTTTTTTGAGAGTTTCACTACATAGTAAGTACAGGCTGGCATTGAACTAGCTACTTAGCCTAGGTTGGCCTTGAACTCATGATCCTTCTGCCTTAGTTACTGGAGTATTGCATTTACAGGTGTGCACCACCATGTCAGGCTATTGGGTTTTGAACTTCATTTCAATCAGCAACTAGGTCACAAGCACTGCTACATTTCTTGGTGTAAGGCACAAGGATGTCTCTTACCATAAACAACAAATGAGCTCTTTCAGAGATTTGGGTAGTAGGTTCCTCTCTCCTGCTTTTGGTCCTATAATTCTGAATGTTTCAATTTCCTTATCTGTGAATGGAAATAGTACTTAGCTTACACAGTGAGGAATAAACTTATTAATATCTATGTTTAGAATAGTACTTGTATGATGACTGATAAAATCTGCCAAAATTTGAAGGACATTACTGAGAATCATGTGATTTCAAGCTAATCATGAGTTCAAATTAGCTTTACAGAGTACTGGATCAGGAGTCCAAAGCACTAAGCTTCCTCACATTAGAATTGCTAAGTGTTGTTGTGTCCTATGTAAAATAGGTGTGCAGTGGTGTGCTAAAGCTGGCTCATATGAACTCAGTTGACACTGCTAATAGCTTAAAACAGCCACGGTGGGAGGACGTACAACATGGAAATCAGCAAACATTACAAATCAGGGTCCTTTCTTTCATCAGAGAATTAGTCGATAAGTTTACCTGCATATCCCTGGACTTCAGGTGTCCCAAGTTATCTATTGGTTGGTGAAATTCTTCTATCACTTCCTTTGCTTTGGCTTGAACATGTACCTCATCATTTGTATTCCCTGTCCTAAATTCTGGAAGAAACTTTAAAGAAGTAAACTCTTCTTTAGCTCAGAAAACAGCAGGGCTGACACCACCACTGACACTTTTCTTATCAACCTAACACCGAAATAAGAGAGTTTAGCAGGACAACTTTTTCAGATATACGATAGGAAAGTTTTAGTCTACATGATGCTCAATGTGTCCAATTTTTTTAAACAAGTAGTTGTAGAGAACCCAGCACCCATAAAGCCTACAAAACTTGTGGTAGTTTCTTTTTCATTCTTGTATTTGACCAAGTACCTACAAAATTCTATTCATCCTAGAATACACCTCTGCTTTCTTGCCTGAAGAACCCAAGTTCATCTGTCAAACTTTGTTGAAGGAATGTATGTCAAAAATATCTTTTTAGAGCCATTTTAAATGAAAGATATTTTTGTCCTCTATAAGTTTACGGTCGGCTATGCAGTTGTTGTTTTTGAGAACCATGGCCTTTTTGATACCTCCTCCTTTAAAACTCATTACAGTACCAACGAGTAACTTTTGTGGAAGACTTACATAGTCTAGGCACTGCTATAAGCACTGCTTCCCTTAGTTCTCATAGCTATTCTAGGAGAAAATAATCATAGAGGGGCTAAGTGATATTGCAGCTTTGGGGCTGGAATTTAGTTGTGTATGCTTTTATCAGACGGCAGCTCTCACATCTGGTAACAAACACTACGAATCCACTTCTGAAAGTCAACTGACATCTGAATGCCAAATGGAGACAGAAGAGCAGTTAATGGAAAGGCACACCTTGCAGGACAATTTTGTTTTACAGGAGGCTAACAGTGTGAAATACTAGGGGCAGGGGGGCAGGGAGTTAAAGGTCATAGATTTAATCAAGGTTTCCAAAAACACACTCTCACTTCTCTTTGCAGGTGGCAGATATCTATCTAGCATCAGAATACACAGCCCACGCCATCAGTGCTCCCACCGTCCAAGGTGGCCTCCCTGCTTTTCGCTGGAAGCGTTTCAACAGAACTCTCCATCAGGGCATGCCGGAAGTGTATGACTTTGATTTTATTACCATGAAACCAATTCTGAAACCTAATATAAAATGAAGAAGGGAGATGAGGGAATAGAAATGGCTATAAAGATACCAAAGACATTTACTTCCACTACGTTTTTTTTTCATTAGAATAAAATCAGTTTGTCACTTTCAATTTCTGATTCTATTCCATTCACTGTTTTTTTCTACAGGACAATATTATGTATAATATGTAACAATGCTAGGGTTCAGCATGCAAGCTAAATCAGAGGGCTACAGCAGGAACTCATTTACCCAAACCCATTATTCTCGTCTTCTGAATGCAAAGATCATACCACCCAAGGTCACCTAGGTAGCTTTTCCATGAGACTGAATTCTCACCAGTGTTACTGGAGATTAGTACCACTTCAAGGACCATAAGAACCTGTGTTCTTTCCATTTTTTTCTCTCCTTCCTCTGGCTAGACATGTTTAATAATAAAACACTTATGGACTGTAGAACTATCCTTTCTATGCAATCTCTAAGAGAAAGCAGTTAGTGATTTTTCTGGTCATCAACAGACAGTTATCAGTCGAGCCTCTGCGGTGCAGCCTGGACGAACAACACAGTAAACCTTCCTGTTGTTTCCCATCAGGTAAAAGTCCCATATCCAATGTGGCAGCACTCCTGCACAGCAATTTTTCTTTTAAAACTAGGGAATTCCATGTGGTTGAAGCACCATCGAACTACCAAACAGATTATTTAAACCATACTATACAATATATAGTGGTGATCCCGAGCAATGTAGGAGATTTTCAAAAGAAAAAATACAACAGCTGAAAAAACACAGAATGAATCGGGAGTACTCAGAATGTTAAAAACCCATTTGTTTATTTCAAAGTATAAATTTTAGGCTTACTGGACAAAACCCCACTACAATTAACACTTACATAGATATTACTATACTGTACAGGGAAGGAGGAAGGGAAGGAAGGAAAGAGTGGAGGGAGGGAAAGAAAACAAAATTCTTTAAAACTGAATAAAAACAGGGCAACTTGCTACAGCCTGGTTAATATTAGACATTAAATTGTCTTATTTACACTTTGAACTGCAATGAACAAAAAAATCAGGATGCAAGTTTCCTACAAAGAGTTTATTTTTATATTTAGTTTTGAAATTACTGATAAAATACTAAAATCAAGATACTCAAAGGTGTATGATTGCCCAGTTTCTGTATTTACAAGGGAAAAAAAGTATTTAAATATAAATAAGTACTTGGTTGACTCTACAAATAAAAAAATAAAGAAAAGCTTATTTAATGTGACATTATTTGAAGATGAGAATATAAAATGTGTTTGTACTAACATATGCCTTCCTTTGGGGGACCCAGGGGATGACACTTTCAGCAATTAGTCTGCCACACTAACTTCCGTAAGAATTGCTGACTATGTACTTCAAAATCCCAAAACAAATAATTTTTTTTCCCAGTAATAGTTAAGGAAAGAAGAACCATTTATTGGTTTTAGACAGTTATTTGTAATAATCTAGAAACTAAGACATAGTTTTTGCAAAAATAAGAATGAAACAGGCCAGCCACAGGTCAGTAACAGTAACAAAAACAAATAATCATGATATACTGAGGCTACCTAAGTGACCCAAGAAGCAAAGTCAGCGAGAATACTTGGAAGGTTTCTGCAGTACCGTACTGTGCTAAGCTCACAGTACTGACTATAAAAGTGAGATGAGAAGACACAGGCATTGCTTTCCGATACTAATACAGTACTGGAAACCCTGGGAAAAGATACATGTGCATCATGCAACATTAACACTAACCTTGCTGTATAGTAACTTGGAAAATATTGAAAGCAAAAGACCAAGTAACAAAAATTAAGTTAACACTTACTCAATGCTGTAAGAGAAAGTTCTGGAGAGAGATGCACTGAGGTAAGTTCCTAAGCTCCTTCTTTCAGGTCATTTCACTCAGGGTATTCATTGTCAGATAATGAGGATGGGGAGAAAGGAGCACCTCTCTGGGAGGCAAATGATGTCTCAACAAATACTCACTTCAAGGAAGCTCTCTACTTCTCTCATGAAGATATATATACTGTGTGAAACAGTATAAAGTATTCTGCATATTTTTAAAAGTCCAGAGAAACAGAAGAATATAGTTACTTCATAAGGAAAACTATTAACAGATACTGCCATTATATGTCATTTTAAATGTTACTAGCAAGAACAAAATTTTAAAGGTTACTCACACTTAAAACAGGGTGAAAATTACTCTGACATAGTGCAAAGTAGTATCAAATGTTACTGTTATCTTTAAATGCCATATAAACATTCTTTATTTCAGAATGAAATACCAGAAGTTTCCAGGATTTCCAATAAGACAATACCTACACAAGTACTGTCAGGCTAAATACGTAGCAAACTTGCATTCCCAAAATGGGATCATTGAGCTTACTGGTAATATTCTGTAAAAACATACCATGAAATTAAAAATAAAAAAGATAACCATGGAGTGTGAAATGCTACTAAAAAGTCTGAGTCCTTCATTCTCTCTCCCAAAGAAACCAATTAAAAAAGCTAACATTCGTCAACATTAAATCTAACCCCTCCAAAAAAAAGTTCAGCATTCTGGTCTAGTACCTCAGTAAATTCAACATATATATTGCCCATAAACTCATGTTAGGTTAACTTGATAATATCAACCAATAATATGCTTTTGTTCTTAAATAATTACAATCTCTTTCTGCTTTCCACAGTCTGCAATAAAAGTTTTTACATAATTATTTTCTGGAATAAATGTATTTTTAGAGTTCCTTTTTTTTGACAGAAAACAGCCAACACAGGCTAAAATAATACAAAATATTCATTCTACTGGGCTTTCTTCATCTGATGATATGTGCAATTACATTTTTAAAAACAAGATTAATGTAGTGAATATTAAAAACATTCAACAAGGGAAATTTTTGTAGACTAGGTAAACAAATCTTTACAACTTGACCATGAAATCAGCCAATAAACTATTGTGAATATGAGCTTTCCATTCTGTAGACCAGAATGATCTTTATCACATAATCAACATTACAACCATTGCAGGTAAAAACATGTATACATGCATATATTGATAGGTATTCATACATATTGTAATGTCAATTTTCTCCTTTTGAAATTTTCATTCTTGTAATAGTGGGAACATCTCATGATTTGTCCCAAAATTAGCAGTATCTACATGGTTGGGAAATTTAATTCATGGAAAAGTAATTCTCATTGTCTCAAAGTTTTCAGAGTAAAATGAAGGTTTAGAGAGTTTACATCCTGGCAACTGTTGTCATCCTCTATTACTAATCAAACTTCACACCTAAGATAACATTACAATGACCAGTAAAAAAGTATCTAAAGATATTTTTACATCTAGAATAGTATTTCCTATTAGAAGCTATCAAGTTGTAAACTAATAAAAGGAATAGCTCCCACCTATAATCCCAGGAAAAAATAATATATTTAGAGAAGCAGAAATATAAATTCAAAACACCAAGGGAAGGAACTTGAAAAGTTATTTCACAAACTCCATGAATACCTTTCAAAATTTTCTCAACCACACTCATCCCTAAAACTTAACCCAGCCCTCCTGTCCTAAATTACCTACACTGAAAATTCCTACCTGATAACCAGATAGCTTGCATCCAATAATGAAAATATGACTGAATTTTATTTCTTGAAGAGGAATGGAGATACACGAGTGGTTATGTCTAATTGCTATATGAAAGGACCCCACAGAGCTACTTTAAATGTAGTCCAAAGCAGATAAAGGCTAAATCAGGCTCAATTTGGCACAATCAAAACCAAGATAAAAGATTAAAAACAGGATTAACATGAGAATAAAGAGGAAACACAGCTTTCTCTTTGATACATTAGCTCACTGTATTTGTGAACTTTTACTATTTTCTTCCTTTGAAAGACTACTACATTATGGATGACAGTGTAAACAACAAGTGCTTTAGAAATCTAATGCAGTGTGCAACATGGACGCAGAAACTGGTTTGATGGAAACTTTTTATACACAATACGGTTTTCTCTTGGTCCACTTGTCCATTTTATGGATTGCTGAACAAAAGTGAAAGTCATCTATACACTTAAGAAGAAAATGGCAAGTCAAATGCAGTGGGTAGCACAGATTTGGGGTAGAGTATATATAAAGGCCTTGGTTTAAAAATGACTAGAGAGGTATGTGCCAAATATGGTGGAAGTGAAAAGAGAAATTAAGGTAGAGAAGCTAGAAGGGAAGAGTAAACAACAGTGTATGGCCATGTTTATTTCTGGAGTTAACCTTTAAGGCACAAATAAATTTAAAAGCCAGATTAAGGGAAGATGGGGGAAGGGTTGTGCAGATTGATTTTCACCTAACACCCAGGAGAAGAAATAACAGAAAAAAATGATTAGCTCCTTTCCTGTGTTCAGATTAACTTATTTTAAGCTATCCATTTTGCTTTTCAGTTAGTTCTTTGGGTTTTATTTAGATTCAGTTTGAATCACTTAATCATGATTCTATAAAAGCCTTATCAGAATCACGCCTGTTATACACCTCAGATTCTTTGATCTATTCATTTCATACTGAAGAGAGAGATAAATTTGAGAATGAAAATGGGAGATTCCACTGCACTAAACACAAAAATAGGAAAACCAAACAAACAAAAAACAGCAACAAAAAAACCATAAAACACCCATACATATTCCCCAGACTCATAACTAAAAGATGATACACATTTATATTTCAAAACCCTGAAGCTTGAATTGTCCAGGAAAGATTGTTGCATTATAGGCTGAATTTATTTTGCTTCTGGTTATAAACAAATGTAGTGTATACACACATCAGTCCAAGAAATCTTGCACAATGTGAATTTTACATTGGATATCATGCACAAGATTAAAAACAAGACTAAAAAGTGGAACTTCTGAAACAGGAAAAGATAAAGGCTCCAAGGTTTAACTGCTCTGGGAAGAAGAGATCACATCAGTTGACTGTGGATCACAGAAAGGTCCAAAACGTCCATAAATATCCTTGGCTCGGACTGCGAAGTAGTACTTGCTGCCAGACACAAACTGGGTAAGAGTGCATGCCATGGGCAGGGGCAGGGCCTTCACCTCCCCAATCTTTTTCCACTGTGAGGGCACGGTGGCACTGGGCTCCTCGTGGTAGGCATAGAGGTGATAACTATCAACAGCAGCGCAGCTTCGATCCACCTCCAGGACACTCCATGACAGTACAATGCCATTCTGACTCTGAACTCGGGCTAACTTCAAGTGTGGCTTCTGAGGCAGAGATGTGCTGGCAGCTTCTGGGGGCAGCCGCTGTGGCTGTGGGGCTTCTGGCAAGGGTGCTGGGTGCACAGGGCGTGGGGGCTCCTAACAAAAGAAGAACCATTTTGATTTATTGTGATCACAGAAAAAACTGTATTAGCATGCCAGAATTAAGATACCTTAGTGGTCATACAGACATACATACCATGTTACATTTAAGAATTCTGGAAAATACTAAATACCACAACAATTATGAACTGGTGATTTGTACCCAACTATGTCAACAACAGTAGTGCGCTGTGGCTATACCTACTAACTTTCGAGACTTGAAATGCTAGTATTTTATTGCCAAGAAAAAAAGCCTTTGTTGATTAAACGGGTCCCCTCCCCCCTTTTATGTATTTGGTACACGGTCTCACTATGCGGCTCGGACTCTTGATGATCCTACTGTTTTCAGCCTCCCCAGTGCTGGGATTACAGGTGTGCACCACCATACCCAGCAGGGATGGCATGGCATGCAGGACCAGAGTGGCATGGAACCCTGGTCCCTGCACTAGCCAAAGCAGGTGCTTAGTTCACTGAGCTATCTCACTGGCCCTATATCTCTAACAAAAAAGTTATGTGTGGCAGTCTATCACATGAATGAGTGTACAAATGTACTTTCATTTTAAAACTTTTGTATTATAAATTCAAAATACTTGCAACTAACCACATTTAATGCTGAATGTGTATTATGTTCTTGGTTAGTCTGCATGAAAAAGGTAATATTTAAATAAGTTTGACAGGTAGGCCAGAGGATGAAAAAGAGACTCACTCCACCAAAAGATACACACATCAAAAATCAGAGGACAGAAAATGGTATTTCAAGGATTTGGAAGCCCAAAGTGGGCAGGAGTAACTGTACTTACAGCTAATGAAAAAGGATTTATGACTAATCTGTATAAAAAGCAAAGAAGTCACTACATAATTGGGATAAATTGAACAAGAAGTTATAAAAATTATGAATTTACACATACCTGAGGCCACAACACTCCACTTTACAAAACAAACCAGAGGACCTACTAGGATAGATACAGGCTCTAACAAAATAGTAGGGGATTCTGACTACTTTCATCAATAGAACAAATAATAAAATGATTAAAAACAAACAAACGAAAAACCTCAGTGACTTCAAACAGCAGGAAATTAGTAGGGAAGAGGGCCCAGAACAGAAAGAAATGATAGAGACCAAAATAAATAGTTGGTCCTTTGAAAACATAAAACTGCTTTAAAATGTACAAACATTATAGATTCATAATTATTAGAGAGTAGGAAGGCTATGGAAATACAGTTCTGGACAAATTACTGCGCCTCATTTCTCAAAATATTCTGTTTTCTAAAATGACAAATCACTTCAATATTTTAAAACAGTAAACAAGATCTAAGAGAACACGGCTGAAGCCACAAACTTTGGGAGTAGCATGAGAGCTTTGCTTAAATGGAGATGTGATGTCTTTTCTGTTACATTTTTATGATCTGGAATCTGCTTCTAGTTAAGTCACATGAATTTTTGTGTTGAGCTTTTTATTTAAGTTTTATACATAAAACAATATGACATCAAATATAACATAAAATAATCCATTATATACTAGGGTTGTGGGAACAGTAGGTGGCAGGACAAAGTAAGATTGCTTATGTGTTGATAAATGTTAAAACTGGGCTGTGAATATGTAAGAATGACCATACTACTCTTTTAAATAGGTTTAAAAATATCCATTTAAAAGGTTTTTAATTACAAAAATAAAGTTAAAAGAAGATAAATTTTTATAGGCTACAAGGGTGATAAATTTATAGAAATACATTATAAGCAGTTTTGCTACAATAGGTTTTGAAAAAATAATGAATAAAAACATATTTGAAGCACCAAAAAACAACAGAAACTCCAATAGTAATGTGCATTACTATTTGCCACATACTGTGGGTTGGAGCGCTGTGGATATACTGAAATCATACTACATGATCTTTAAATGGCTCTGGGTCTCACACCAGCTTCAGTTAATAACAATCACCACTTAATATCTTTGTAACACTAAGTACTTGAGAGTAACTACTACACAGTAAGTACTAATAATACAACTTTATTTCACTGCAGTGGAATAACAAAAATAGCAACTGTTAAAAAGCATAGGCTTTTGGAGGTAGAATGCCTAGGTTCTTGTGAGATATGGCCTTATGTTGATTATCCAATCTCTCTGAAGTTTAGCTGCCACTACCAGTTATTTATTTTTTGTCTTTTTGAGACAAGGTCTTGCTATGCAGTTCCGACTGGCCTTGAGCTCAATTTGCAGCCCAGGCTGGTCTTGAATTCACAAAGATCCTCCTGCCTCAGCCTCCAGAGTGCTGGGATTATAGTTGTGCACCACCATGACTGGCTTGTCACTATTACTATGTTTTAAAGAAGTCTACAAGGATTCTGTGTAAGCACCAAGTATATGAGCAATAATTGGAACATAGTAAACAATGACTGCTAGACATCATTATAAGTACTAAAATTTGCTTTATTAGACAATAATAGCCTCGACTACCTATCTTCCCTGTCATAAGTCAGCATTTTCCTTTACAAGACAGTTCATAACAATCAAATATTGTCATAATCATGTCACGCTAACATGACATCCCTTTGGAAAATAATTATAAGGGCAAACTTTTGGTTTGATCTGTTCTGTTTTAAAAAACGAACTGTATCAGTGGGCCACTTAAACAATATAACAGTTAAAACTGGTTTAAGACTCTGAAGAATAATAATGTAACATGGAAAAATAAGAAATACAAATGTAAGCATGGGCTAGAAAATACCTATTTCACTTTATTTGCCCAGATGCGGACTTATTTCTGTATGATATAGCACTGTCAAATAAACAATTACCATCCTTAGGAATATTTATTCATAATGATAATACTCATTTTTATAAATAAATTTATACTAGAAAAACAAACACCTATCATTTCCCTTTGATATTATTATGGTAAAGAAAAATATTAATTACAAAAAAAATATTTGACAGAACTTCTGGGCAGATGGTGAAGCAGTAAGCAACAGTAGGCCACCTATTTGGGATTCTGAATCCAATACTGGAATGTAACAACTTGCAGAAGCAAGGGGGAGGATACATCCCTGGGATCCAGGAAGGATCTGAAAGGAGAACTAGAGCCCACAGGGAAAATGAACAGACAGGCGTCAATGAAGAAAAAGGAGGTGGCAAACTACACTTTCTCCCTGACGCCCAGTGAGAGAAGAGGCTTGAATCTACAGACACAGGGAAGGTAGGTGACTTCAAGAGGACTCACTAAGAAATACACTTACAGAACAGAGCAGTAGATGCTGTGAACCACAATGGCTGATGAATCGATTTTAGGCTAACTGTCCTCCGGAGAAGGAGGGAGCTTGGCCAGAGGCCATTTCAGCAAGTATTCATTAAGATGAAACTGGAACTGAGAACAGTCCCTGGGTTGACTTCCTCTCAGGTCCCCTAGTAACTGTTCCCAGGCACACCACAGGACATATCTAGGGTCAGGGAGCACAGGTTAGGCAGGCAAGAGATAACCTAGTGTTACAGGCTGAACAATTGAGGCCCTGCTCCACAATCAGGCTGGGACCAGCTTGAACTTCTGTGGAGTTAAAAGCAACAAAATTGGTGCTCCGCCTTGATCCTACTGCAGGCTTGCTGGGATCATCCAGGACAGATCACAGTTCTGGCCTTCTCTCTCTATCAGACAGCAGAGATAGGCCCTGAATTGGGTGGTATCACAAAACTTCAGACCCCAGAAGATAACTACAGGCCTAAAATCACAGAGAAATCTTTTTTTCCTCCTCTATTTTTGTCTTCATTGTTTGTTTCTACTTCTTCATGGGTGTGAACATTGTTTTAGTATTGTGGGTCATAATTAGATCTTCTTTTTGTCTTTTCTTTCTTTATTTCCCTCCTGTGTTCATCAGTCTCTCAGAGCCTGGATGATCTACCTTTGCCAGTCTTGTTTCTTTCTAATCACTTTCTCTTCTATTATTTCTCTACTTTTTCCTCTTACACTTTGAAATGTTCTCTCTTGAAGTTAAAGCTCCTCCATTGAGCAGTTGGATCAATGGATGTAATTTCTGGGTTATTTTAGATTTTGCTATATAACTATAATATCTTGGATCCACAGTTTAAGGTGGCAAATTAACACTCCCCACAGTTTGTCATTTTCTAGACTGTACTTGATACTGCTGTTCTTACTGATTGCACTACTTTACCCAAGGTGACACAGTTATGAATAACTGTTCTTCATTGTATAACAATACTAAAACTGTCTGAAGGTAATAAACCACACCATAGTTCAAAAGCAAAGAAGCAGATGCTAGGCCAAATAGGCAGCAACTCCTCATCACTAATAAATTAAAGAGGCAGAATCTTGCAACAGACTTAAATACCCAACACAGAAAAGAAATGGAATCCATAAAACAAACTCAAGCAAATATCCAGAAGATTAAACATTCCACTAAAAGTATACATGGCAGAATAAACCAACGTGAGGATAAAATTCTCAGATACAGAAAACAAGCTGGTAATTAGCAATCATGAAAAGAAAGATTTCTTAAAAATAGCAAAAAGAGCCAGGTGTGGTAGCACACCCTGTAATCCCAGTACAGGGGGCCAGGGAGATAGCTCAGTAGAATAAGCACATGCCTGGCAAGTGCAAGGCCCTGAGTTCAATCCCTGGTACCAGAAAAAAAAAAAGTAATCCCAGTACTTACGAGGCTAAGGCAGGAGAATTGTCCCAAGTTGAAGACCAGCCTGGACTACAAAGTGAGTTCAAAGCCTGTCTAAACTGCATAGTAGGGCTGGGGAGACAGCTCAGTAGAATAAGCACTTCCCTGGCAAGTGCAAGGGCCTGAGTTCAATCCCCGGTTCGACCAAAAAAAAAAAAAAAAAAGAAAGAAAAGAAAAACAACAACAACCAAAAAAATACATAGTAAAGCACTGTCTTAAATAGACC